AGCTAATTAACTTAAATAAAAATCATTTTTACGGTGTTTATTATATGTGATAAAATGAAAAATGATTGGCAAATGATTGGCAAAATGATCTGCAAAATGTGATAAAATTAAGCATGACCGCTATACTATCAACAACTATCCGAAGTAATGTGATTACTGGAAGTCAAAAACGTCAGTGGTTTGCTAGTGATTATATATTTGAAGGAATAAAAATTTGCAATAAATCATTTTTGTTAGTATATAGAATTGGTGAAAAATATTGGATTAATATTTGAGCTCATTTTATATAGGAATCAGTCCAAGAATACATAAATTAACTAGTAAAGTTAGTAATTCTGCTATGTCATTTGAAAAATTTTTTAGAAATACTTATTTTTTATAGTAAATTATGTAAATATTCATGGTTTACCTTCTCCTGATATTTAATTAATATGTTTTTTTATAATAAATTAATATAAATTAATAATTTTTAATAAAGAATGACATTTTCGTAAAGATACTTTATTAGTAACTTTTCTTCTAGTGAGTGAAAGCTATTCCTCATTATATCAGTTATACATATCAGCTTTAGAAGATCAAAAAATATTACATTTAACTACTTTTTAACGTATTTGAAATAAATATATTCCAGAAATAAAATTCCTTTTACCTTGAAGTGATCTATATTTTAAATGTAAGGAAATGCAATTTAAGTCACAATATTGAATAAATCAAGAAAGTGTTGATCGTGTATCTGAATAGAATAATCATTTTTTATAGTTGCAAAAAGAAAGAGAATATTATAGGTATTTATTTATATCTTTATAAAAAAAATCTGTAAAATATAATATATTAATAAAATCTTTAATAATATTATTATTTAGAAATTGTATACAAATATCAAAATCATTTTTAAAATAAGATTCTAATTTTTCCAATTTTCTTCATCCTAATAATCCAAATTCTTTCAATTTTGAAAATCATATATCATGGGATTATGCAGAACAAGTGAAACTTTCATTTTCATCACAATAAGAAGTATATTAATTTTATGACATAATTTTATTTTAATATATTAAAGTAATTTTTATATAAAAGGAAAGTACATATTTTAAATCTCTCTATAATATTCAAGTTTTTGGAATTTGTAAAGATGTGTTTCCAATTCAAGTAAATACTTATAATTAACTATAATTTTTATAATTTTTAATATTATTTATATTTTATTTATTGATGCTTTTTTTTATTCTAGCGAAATTATTTAATTAAAGAAGAAGAAAGTGTTAGAAAAGGTGCAAATGCAGTTATATCCTTTGTTTATAATTAATTTACTCTTTATGGAATGAATGAAACTAAACTAATAATTCATGTGAATAATTGTGCTGGTCAGAATAAAAATAATGCTATGATTATATATTTAATATGATGAGTTGTATATGGATTGCATACCAAAATTACCTATTCATTTATGGTAGCTATTCACACAAAATTTAGCCCTGACAGAATTTTCAGTCTTTTTAAATTAAAATTATAAAAATCAGAAGTTGATAATCTTGATGATTTAGTAAATGTTGTAAACAATTCAATATTAGGAGATCACAGACAATTTTTAATAGAGAAGAAAATTGTGTAATACATTTTTATAATTGGACAGAATTTTTATCAAAATATTTTAAAACAATCCCTAATATTTTAAAATATCATTATTTTATTTTTGATAGAAATAATGTAGGTAAAGTAAGTGTCAAAAAGACAATTGATGGAAATAATCAAATTGCAGATATTGCGAAAAAAGAAAGTATTATAGGATTTCTACAAAAAATTTTCCTGTAAGATTATCAGCCAAAAGATAATAGTATTTATATGAGCAGGTATGTCAACATATTGGAGATTCTCAAAAGTAAGATGATTATTGTCCATTATCAACTGTTCAAAAACCAAGTAGATAAATAATTTTAACTTTTTTAATAAAAAATAATTGAAATTTTTTTTTCCCATTTTTTATATTACATTATTGTTATTTAAAATTTGAATATTTGATTAAATGTTTGTGAAAATCTGCTGCAAAATTCTTTAGCCAATAAAAAATAGCACCATTTCTCGTTTCAGCTAAAAGTTCATTTTATATATAAAAGAAAAAAAAGAAAAGTTAGTGCTATTCTGATTAAACCCACACATTCATAAAAACTTACAACAAAATTCGCTTGGAGAAAAAGTTATGATCGATTCCTAAAAAAAAGAGAAAAAAGAATGGTTAGTATCATTCTGAAAGAAATAAATTAACATATTCATAATAAAAACTTATCACAAGTTCACTTATAGAGAAAGTCCAAGCTAATTTTTTAAAAATGGGAAAAGAAAAGAATGGTTAGTATCGTTCTAAAAGAAAGAATTAACACGCTATCCAAAACAAATTTACCACAAGTCTGTTTTGAGAGAAAGGCCAAGTCGATTCTTAAAAAAAAGAATGGTTAGTACCATTTCAAAAGAAAGAATTAATACGCTACCATAACAAACTTACTACAAGTTCATTTTGAGAGAAAGGCCAAGCTGAATCCTAAAAAAAGGAAAAGAAAAGAAGGTTAGTACCATTTCAAAAGAAAGAAAGAAAGGTCAAGTCAATTCCTAAAAAAAAAAAAGAAAAGAATGGTTAGTACTGTTCCAAAAGAAAGAATTAACACGTCACCTATAACAAACTTACCATGAGTCCATTTCTAGAGAATGGCTTCTATGGTTGATTAGTTGTTGGGTTCTATGTTAGAGATGCCAGTTGTCTATACCTGTTTAGATTCCAAGTTCTATGTTGAAGTTTTCACCTTTCTGTGTCTAGTTGGTTGCTAGATTCTATATTGGAGTGTGTATCCTTTGCATCTATTTGGTTACCCTTTAAAATATTGAAATAGTGTAAAAAAAGAGGCGACAGATGGCGCAATAGATTTGTGATTAATTTCAGCTGACATTATGCCATAATTCTGGCTGATCTTTAGAGTATATAATTTAAGGATCAAGCTTAGCATCATTATAGTGACTTGATAGTATCCTGAAACTACTGTGAAGCTGTCATAGAACTGTCATAGAACTGGTGGAAAGCTAGAGAGGTTCTATTAGTTATCAAATGTAATACCATGTATTTTGCTTATAATTTTAGATCGGTCTAATTTATATTGCCATTCTCTATTGCCACTACTTGTATCTGTTTACGATTGATATTCATTTGTGAGAATTTTTTACCAAGAATATTACTACTTAATACTTGCTCATTATTTTTATTACACCAAGCAAGATAATCCTGATATAAAGTAACGCAACATATTTATTTGCAAAGAATGTCTTCAGGCCATGTCGAAATATAATCTATTATGAATTGATCAGCATTAGAATAAGGCATTTCACTAGAGCTTACTATTTCATTCTGCTTTTCAATCCCCTGACAGCTAGTCACATTTTTAAGTCTAGTTTTTCATTTTTGAGTTCATTAACTTGTTCTTTTAATGAATCTATTTCCAATTGCATATTTAAAATCTTGCGCGTTAATGTAAGCTCAAATTGCATATCAGAGATTTGGCATTTTAATAGATAGTTTCAGATTCCATTGTTGCTGTATACACTTTAGAATAATTATTTTTTTGCGTATTTTCAATATTAGAATATTACCAAAGTGAGGCATGATCTTTCTACTATATTGTTAGAAGATATATATGCCAAATTTTTTTGCCGTCACCATGAAATTGCGTCCTTATAAAATTAATACCAAATTTTTATGGGATAATTCATAAGGTTAACCTTAATATCATTTTTGGGCTTTTTAGCTTGTTTTATTGAATTCTTTATTATCTGTCTTTAAGAACTCTATCAATCCTAAGAAATTTTAAAGTTCTAGAAAAAAAATCGAAATTTTTGTTATGTAAAATTCCTATGATATATTTTATAGTATAGTATATGTGTGATGTAATAGCAAGGAATTTTCGAATGCAAAAAAAAAATAATAAAGGTAAAGAGTTCGAAAATTCATACGGCTCATAAGGCTTCTTAAGGACAAGTAATAAATTGCCTTTCCAAAGTTCTAAAATCGTTAAAGAAAATACTTCTAGCGTTCTTGTTAAGTTTTTTTATCATCCCTATAAATTTTTCATGGGGCAAAATTTTTGATAAGTTATTAAGGCCAACTTATAGCATTAGGCATTTTCATTCTATCGAGAGCCTGACTTATTGCCTTCGGGATCTAACAGTTCTGAAACATTTTATCCAACTTTTTCTATGATAATATGCATTTGAGTGATACTTTTTTACATACCAATCACAAAATATATATTCAGAAGCCGTCGGTCTTTCACATCCATCTTATTTGCATAGAGGTCACTGGCATCTTTTCCAGTGAATATAACACCCTTCTGGTTTTCTACTTCCCTGTTCACAAACCTTCCCTTCATTGGAATGATACTGGCAAATGTATTTACCACCCATTGATATTATTCTTAGATAAATAACGCTTTGATATCTATAATTATTTATTTTTATTTTAAACTTTTTTGTTGGGATATTATACTGAAACAATATACTAGATAACATATCTGAAAATTTTTACTATGACACAATCTAAGCTTTCAGAGTTCCTCAACACCCCACCTTTTTTCATTCAGAGGCTGGAAAAGATAAAATGGAAGTCCAAGTAATTTGCTATTCCGGTGAAAATACTTGTTAAACTTTTCAATACTGGATGATATAGTTGCAAAAAATGATGAGGGATTAACTTCAATACTCGAGAATGCTCTATCTAAATGACAAGAAATTCCATTTATGGCTATTGAGAATGAAGGATTAACAGAAAGGATAAATAAAATGTACTACTATGTATTGCGTCTTTATGGTTGTCTTATTAATGGCCAAAAGGCACTAGTAACTCTTATAAATATTCAGGTTTTCTTTGACATTCTCGTACTAGACGGAGAGACTCCAGATAAATGCAAAGAAAAGGTGAGCGAAATTCTCTCTGGCATTTTAAAATCATATAAAATAGAACACATTAAAGCATTCCCTTTCCGGGGTTATTATACTAAAAAAAGTTATATTTACGAACTTATACGAATGGTACTGGAGAGAGAAAGAAAGCCATCCAAGCTATCCAAGAAAAAATTTTGAAACTGCTTCAGATGATTTATATTCATTCCACTGAAAAATAGCTCGAGAAAATGGAATCCAACTCTTTAGGTAATCTACAATAAATAAATATATATGTAAGAAAGGCAAGCAGATCAGCCCGCTTTGTCTGCATAAAATCTATGTATCTATAAAAGATTTCTGTCCACTGGAAGATCTAAGCGACTGATTTCCCATTTCAGCTCTTATAAGATTGTACTCTTGTCCTCACTTGGTATATAGAGACGCAATCACAAGAATTGGGTGAATTTGCTAAAGTCCTTGATCTGAATTATGATGTTTTTATGATTTCTATAATATTGTATTGGAAAGATGATCCAAAATCACTAAAGCAAATATGTCTTGTCGATGTTGAAATAGAACCAGACCCACACTGGATCACAATCATTTGCAGAAATCAAGTAAATCTACTAAAAGCTTTCTCTCTTTGCTGGCGAGCATTTGTCTTGATATCCATGTTGGGTTTAACGATTCAGACTATGATTGGTATTTTATTATAGAAAGAGCATATCATCTCAACATACTTGAATGGATGTGGGAGTGAATGACAGGAAAGTTCAAAACAAAGGAAAAAATACTAAAGTGAAAATACCATGAAAAGATAGGAGCGAAATCTGAAAATGATTTCGTAAAAAAGTATACTGTTAAGACTCCCAAAAAAGGTGAAGAGGATCTGGAGGAGAAAGAATATATAGGTGGTCCAATTAAGATCAAAATTAGTGCAGGAGATTATTTTACTTCTAGCTTTCTTAAACTGCCAGATTACATACTGATTGATGTCTGAGTGTGCCTCAAAAAACGTTTTCCTCATTCTGAAGTCGAAAAGGAAAGCTCACTTAAATTCTTCCTACAAAAATTTGGTCTTGACAGTAAGGCCGATATGCCATACGATAAAATCTGAAAAATCAATTTAGAAGCGAAAAAAAACTCCTCTTCATCAACCTCGAGAAATATGCGTGAAGTAGCATAATACTGTATTATAAACGCACTGCGCTGTCAAGAGCTTTTGGTAAATGAAAGTATAATAAATGATTATAGAGAAGTTGCCTCCATAGCTTATGTTTCTCTTTTCGACATACATTATCACGCAAATGAAATGAAGGTATGGAATCTTCTCAGCGTATGTGCTAAACGAGATATGGTAATTAGTACAATAGTTTTTAAAGATATAAAAAAAGGGAAATATCCTGATGCGTATATATTTTCACCTAAAAAAGGTATCATAACAGAAAGACCTGTAACAGGTTTGGATTTTGCATCTTTATATTTTAACATTATCATAGCCTACAATCTCTCTTCAGAAAAAATCATATTGGATCGAGAAAAGGCTGATAATGTCTGTAAAAATGGAAACAAGCTTCATATGATTGAGTTTAAATTCAATAAGCATGATGTTTAAGCTTGGTACGTATGTTATGAAAATCAATCTGAGAGGAAAGAATTATATCTGGCAGTATTAGAGGATTTATCTAATAAGAGGCTGAAGGCCAGCACTGCTCAAGATATCCATATTTTAAGGCTAGAAGACAAGGCTGATCAGCTTAAGACTCGTATTTATGAAATAACCGGTCTAAGTCAGAAAAAAGTTTCAAATAATAAAGAAATATTAGATATGGAGCATACAAT